TTTCCAAACAGAAGTACCAGTTCCTTGAACTCTGTGAGCTTTCTTATTTCCATGGTTATCTGGGTTTTTCCGTGTAGCAGCATCCTTTGTGCTCCTTGTACTGGCTCTTAAATGTCTAAATGTAAAGGAGTTTGATCCACTTTTCAATTTTATTTATTGTTTTAGTAATCCAGTCTTATTACTACCTCAGTACAAAACCATAGCTTGCAACTTTAAATTTTTTAGCATGTTATCCTTTCTCATTTTTTATGCTTGGCTGTCTGAAGTTGGCAGTTTACAACAAGTGATAGTATCCTAGTAAAAATTTTTCCCTACTGTGTTATTTATTGTTCTTTTTACCAATATTATTAAGTTACTTTATGAAAGGGTAACACAGGACAATGCTAGCCTTCATTAATTTTGTTTCTGGATCAGCTCAAACAGTTAAAGCTCTTTTGGAAAGCCTCGAGTGAAAAACAAATGTGGCATTCCAGGGTCGTGGTCTGAATTTCCTCGATTTCTAAAGAAAATACTTCCTTCTGTGCTGCATGTTACTTAGCTGAGCAAGTTCAGGGATCTGGTAAGTTATGGAGGGTACACCTGCAAGACTTGTTCTGCTGTGGACCCGACTGATTAGAAATTGCAAAGGAAAAAAAAAATAGGGAAAGCTCTGGTATGTGGCATGGAAAGCATCTCTGGAAAGAGGGCTCTGTTCATGGAGAATGGGTCTGTAAATAGATCCTAGAGAGAGATGAACTTTAATATTCCCAGTGCAGCCCTCTTGGATCCTGGGGAGATGCCAGGGGAATGGTCCCTGGGGGTGGCCAAGCTGCCTTGTCCCCCCGGAGAGCGTTTGCTGCCCCAGATCAAGGGCTGGGCTAGGTGGACGTAGGGACATTTGCAAGCAGCTTTTATAGAGAGTGTGGGCATTGCAAGGGCACAGTGGATTTCCCTGCCGCTCCATAAAGGCATTCATAAATTATTTTTAACAAAGCAAGTATTGTCCTCACGAGGGGTCATGTGATTTTCTAGGAAAATCGGGTCTTCATTGCCTCTGAAGGCTTTATTTTCAACATTAATGCTTGAGAAGTATGATTTACTAATGGGAAGAATATATTATGGGATGTGTACAATGGAGACACATGCAAGGCAAGAATAAAGCTTTTTTTCTAATAAGTCTTGAGAGGAATAGCGACAAGAGTATAATTATAATTACTAAGGTCATATTATAATAACCTTAGCTGTGCAAGTTACTTTTTCCTTTTGTCAATGGCTGTCTTGGGAAATGTCAAGAGCAGGAAGCGCAATGAGGAGTAGCTGCCACATAAATTTCATAGATGGAGCCTGGAATTAACGTGATTCCTGGGTCTGCACCGGTGTTCATCGTCTAAAGAAATTCCCTCTGTCATTTCTGCATGAAAGCTTCCCTAAAAGTGATAGTCAAGGAGGCTCCAGATGCTCTGTCTCAGTGGTGCCTTGGGCAAATAACCCTTTGCTGTTGGGGATGTTTTTGGAGGATTTTCCCAGCACAGAGCAGCAATCTGAGCAGTCTATGCTAGTCTTGATGCAAAATGAAAATAATTGCAGTGAGACCCCTGGAAACATGTCCTTCCCCTCTGTGTTTTTAAACATGACATCCATCCTCAATAACGGGCTCTCAGGGCTGTTAAATCAAATAAATGAGGGAGCAGGGAAACTGCCCAGCGGTAACAAAACCCAAGTGTTGGGAGACGTTGGGTTGCAGCGTTCTGCATTTTTCACTCCTTGACGTAGGCAGGGCCGGCCCTTACCCCGGGCAAGTGGGGTCCATCCCCACCAGAACTTTATAAACTTGGGTAAAATCCTCCCTGATAGGATTAAGGGAGACACACAGTGGTGGCACGGGGCAGTGGCAGGAGGCACAGACCTCCCCAAACCCACCACACACACCTGGGAAGCTGTTACAGCCCGCGCCAAGTTTCCATATAGGATTTCTTTCCCCTGTCGGTTTAACAAGGAGCTGTATTTGCACACCTGTGGGGCTGCTTTCAGTGAGGATTCTGCTAGTTCCCCCCACACCTGCAGAGATGGGAATGTGGGGAGTTGGGCTTAGTACAGAAAGGGGAGGGGATTCATATGAAGTAATGGCCATGTTTTCTTTTTGTTGTTTGTTTTTCAAAATATAAGTGCTTTTATAATTAGCATTATTTTCATTAGGGGGGGGGAAAAAAAAAAAGCCTTTATGTGGTTTTTGCTGTATGGTATTGACCTCCTGGGACTCTGTTATGTGCATGAGGAGGCACGTGCAGACAACCACAAGTCATACTGCGTTGAGATTCCCATCAACAAGAAGAGCATTAGAGCTGCCACTGGTTGAGGGTGGGGCACGGAGGGTCTCCCAGGCTGGTGCCTTGCTGGACGATGCTCTCCGAGAGCCAGGATGAGGCAGCGTGTGTGTCTGGGTGTGCGCCTGATACCTGGTGTGCTGTCCTCTGCTGCTGGGGGGGCTGGTGCAGGACGGAGCCACAGCTCTGGGCACTTCGGTGTCTAGAAGCTCTGTCCTCTGCTCTAGATCAGGACTAGGTTTATGCTGAAGCTGAGCACGAGGGTCAGAGTTGGTTCGTTAAAAACCCCACTTCCGTAAGAAGCTCCTATAAAAGTTTTTTATCATTAATTCTTAAAGTTCTGGCAGAGTTCTTTTGCATTTGTGTGCCTGTCCTCTAGACCTTGCTGGTGATGCTGCTGGTTATCACTGAGCTCGTAGAGGTGGGTATGTGCAAACCTGGGCTGAGCTTGAAGCCAGGCAGTTAGACAGAAATTGCGAAGCAACAGGCATGCTTTCAGTCTGCCAGCATAGGACAACTAAATACTCTGTGTTAATTTTTGGTTTGTAATCAATTTTGCCATTACAAGTTTTTTTTTGTTAAATGTAGACAACCTCACTAAAGATTCTCTGTGGATGTCGTCATCAGATAAAAACATATGAAAGCTGTCCCTTTATCTCATAGAATTTTTTATATAAAATTCTCAATTTCTGCCTGACTGTGTGATCGGGTTCTGCAGGTGTCCATCTAGCTGCCTGTCTCAAGGCACTGTAGCTGGCAGCCCTACTGCTAGAGGAGCTAAACTCGTGTCTAGTGTTTATGTTCTTAACCCAGCCCCAGTGATTCTGCTAAAGGCCGGTGGAGATTTCCCTTTGCTTGGGGCTACGGTAGTCTCTGAGTTGGCTGAAACCACAAATACCAAGAGAAGTGCTCTTAAAGCTCTTGTCAACATGATCAATCATAGAACAGCTATTGATAATTTTTTTAATTGTCTGTGCTTTTCTTATTACAGAGCAAGAACATACATTAAAGAAATTAACAGGAATGCTTATTATACTTTAAGTTTGTTTCCTGATTTGTTTCTTTGTAAAGACAAGCCCTAAATTGGGTGTGATGTGCACTGACAATCTAGGCAAATATTTGCTAATACACTTCTGTCAAGTTCATGCTACCTCTTGTCCTTAAGAGTACTGCAGCCACCTCACCGTAGATTCGAAGCAACACTTCTTTTGAAATAATATCAGAAATAATCACACTGACAATGCATCCACTTGTTGATATTTACAATATTTCACATGTTTCTCTGGTTCCCACCTGCAATGCTTTTATTCTGTGACCTGTTCTTCAAAATCACACTGACCATCCCCTACCAAAATTTGTGTCCCTTTTCTCGCTTCTTCTGTGCTCACTTCGTCCTCTCTTCCACAACTTTATTTCATCATCACTTGTTTCCATTTTTTTCTCAGGATCCCAAGTTCTTCTGGCTTTGCCTCATGTTGTGCAGGACTTACAGAACCACAGACTGGTTTGGGTTGGGAGGGACCTTAAACCCACCCAGTGCCACCCCCTGCCCCGGGCAGGGCCACCTTCCCCCAGCCCAGGTTGCCCAAAGCCCCGTCCAGCCTGGCCTTGAGCCCTTCCAGGGAGGGGGCAGCCACAGCTGCTCTGGGCAGCCTGTGCCAGGGCCTCAGCACCTCACAGGGAGGGATTTCTGCCTTAGATCTCATCTGAACTTACCCTTTTTCTGTTTAGAACGGTTGTGCCTTATTCTTTCCCTGCAGCCACTAGTAAAAAGTCTCTCTCCATCTTTCTTAAAAGCCATTTTTAAGTATTGAAAAGCTGCAATAAGGTCTCTGTTCCAAGACATCATAATATTTTAGTTTTTCAAGTTGACTTTCAGTTCTCTGGACCAGTTCCAGAATTCTGTCAAGAATTTTCACTTGAGCATATGTGCAAACCATGGCTTTCAGTGGCATTTAGGAGCTTACCTTTAGGCAAAACAGAAATTGTAAAAATTACAGCTCTCATGTCTAATATACAGGTAATTGTATATTGCATGTGGATGCAGCACAGTTGTAAATTAACGGGATACAAAATAATTTTAGAGTGTAAGTGCTACGCTTGCAGCACAGAACAATGACAAATTCGATGTGAAGTCAGAAAAGAAAGTTTAGTTATGTGATTAAAGGCCTTATCCTGAAGACATTAACACTTGTTAAGGCCACATGGAAGCCCTTGTGAAGCAGATAAAAATCACACCCAGCTGGTGAAACTTGTGTTTAAAGGTTCTTGGGTACGTAGCATAGTTCCGTGCAACCCTTTCCCTGAAATACTGTGATAATTATTGGGTTTGTATGAATTGCTGCAAACCTCTACTACTAAAACTGCTTTTATTTGCATAATGAACACATGTGAAAGTGAAGTAATTAAACCGGTAAAGTTTCTTCCTGCAAAGTATATTCCTAGATGAACGCTCTTTTTCTTTTTCCTGAAGAATTCCTGAATTCATAAAAGAGATTTATTGTTTATTATAATCAGCAACTTGTTCTCCACACAGGGAAATTACAAAGCATGAATTCTCCTCTTTGCTGTATGTCTTCAAATAAGAGATTAATTTGTCAGTTAAAAATACTTTTGTGAGGTTTTGCATTGAGGCTGTTGAATAGTTCACCTTTTCCTTTGTAGACGGGAAATCTCTGATCAGTGTTTTTTCTGTTTAGGATGTATTTGACAATGACTGGTACACCGCTCACAGTCTCGTTGGAGGAGCTGATATTATCGTGATTAAATACTCCATCACTGACAGGGCTATATTTCAAGTACTAAAGGATAAGTATGTCCCGGCAATGAAAAAAGTATTAAGCATCTGTTCCATTCCAGTAATAATTTCTGCGATTGGCGTAAGAAAAAATGGTACGTATCCAGTCTTCCGAAGGAATAGTTAAACCTCACTTGAAAGTTAAGAGATGCTGTAGTTTCAGTAGGAGCTGATTGTTCTTCCAAGCTGTTAACAGAAACAATTATTCTGTCAGGATGACTAATATGTGCATGTATTATGGTTCTGTAGTCTGGAGTATTGGCAAGAATATTATGCTTAATTAACCCTGGAGATGAAAGGCATCCTATCCTGCTTTGACCTCTGCAAGGGCTCTTCTTGTGGAGCCATCCTACACGGAGATTAAATCCAGTTAAATTCTGTATTAAGCAGCGTACATTTGAGTGTAAGAGGTGAACCCTGGTGTTATGAGGTCCCTCTGGTCACTTCTCAGGTATAAAATATTTCTAGTGCATTGGGGGATCAGAACAAAGTCATCAGCTGGAGAGGGGGTGGAAAATGCCGCAAAATTCTCGAGGGTGTCGAACGGACACACCAGCCCTTTGGGTACCACGAAGTGCCACACGCTGCCACGTCAGCAGAGGTGACCTGCTACGGCAGAGTGGCTAGGCTATGGCTGGGGTGTCAGGAGTCTGCTGTGAGAACAGCGCAAATTGATTTTACACGGAATTTTTAGCGAGCACAAAAGTTGTTGCTGCCTATTCAACAAGAAAATAAAAGTTTCGCGACTGTGGAAGGGGTACAGACTTTATTCTGCATTTCCAACTGGTTTGCGTTGTGATTTTCTTGATTCTCGTGGGCTTTTTCATCATGGAGCCTGAATTTTTAAACATTTATTTTCCTAAGACAGTGAATACAAAATCTGAGCCTGGGTGTCATCTTTTACTTAACGAGTTTGGCAGAAACATGTGGTTCTGAGCATCCATCCTGCTGTGAGTAAGGGACATGACAGATGCAGACATTTATTTTATAATGTACAAAGATACAGTTTAATATAGTGTCTCGTCTGTGGACATAATGCTCAGTTTTGCCAGGGTCTAATTCTATGTCTTTTTGCTTGGTGATTGAGAAAGGACTGCTAAAGAACCCTAAGAATTAAACCTTTATTTTATTCCCTTTAGTAATTAATTGATAATGATCAAATGTTTTTAGGCTCTGATTTATACAGTGGTAATAAATCTGCCATCCTAAGGGCAAGGTCTTGCTAAACTAATGTTTGTCTTCCCCAACACCGTTTCTTACACTTTTTATTAAGCACACAATACCGCCAATCTGAGTGACCCCACTACTGGCATTTCTCTTTTCCACTTCTCCTTTTTTTTTTTTTTTTTTTTTCCTTTTCTTCCTCCCTAAACAATGTGACCGTGGCAGAAGTCAGGCTCTGCAGCCACGGTTTCGCTTTGGGACCTGCTGGAGCAGACTGCTGTGCACACACAGAACCCTTTTGTTTCTAGGAGGTATTTGTGAACACAGCAGTTTGCTCACACAAATTACTAAGATCTTAATCCTCTGTAGTAGCAAATGGTGCTGCCAAAAGAAATAAAAAAAAAAAAAAAAAGCTGTGTTATTACGTGTTATCCATAGGTCTGAGCAGAGGAAATTAACGTGGAACATGCACGGTGCATTTGAAAGCACATCCACAGCTGGAAGTTCTTATGGGCCTTAAGCAAAGTTGAGCTGGCATGGCTATCAGATTCTTATCAGTTAACCGGCATGATCCTAAAAATACCTATTTTGGCTTAAAAACTGTATGCAAAACATATATATTTGATTCATATTCTGCTGTATGTATATGCCCATAACAGCCGGGACTGCAGTGGAGACTTTTCCCTTTGCTATTGCCCATGGTTCCTGCACGCATGGGCCACAATAATTAAACAAGTTGAAGGCTGACATTAACGAATGGTAACACCTGCAGACTTGTACAGCACCTGTGCATATAAGGATGCTGTGGCCCTAAGCCAAAGCTGGCTCCTGGAAGTCAAGTCCTGCTTGACTTTTCTGCCTTAGGGAAACTCGATGTAAAGTAACACCGGTGTAATGTGCGCTGAGCTTCGGGCATTTGGATTATTTGACAAAAAAGGCTTTTTTCCATGGCTTTTTACCCCAGGAGTGCCTTGCACCTGCCCCCTGTGCACTTCAGACAAGAAATGTATCAGCACCACCGAGGGAGTTCAGCTCGCCAAAGAGCTAGAAGCCACGTACCTCGAACTGCACACTCTGAATGATTTCTACATACAGAATTACTTTGGGGTAGTGGTGAGTGAGAAACCCCTGGGCTGAAAGCAGGGTGATGTGCACAGGAGGCGCGTGGTGATGTCCGGGCTTTGGAGAGTGAGGGGAGGCTCACCGCGAGCCCTCCCACTGAGGGCAAGTCCCCACCCCAAGCTGGTTTTAGATGAGATCTAAGGCAGAAATTGTTCCCTGTGAGGGGGGTGAGGCCCTGGCACAGGCTGCCCAGAGCAGCTGTGGCTGCCCCCTCCATGGAAGGGCTCAAGGCCAGGTTGGACGGGGCTTTGGGTACCCTGGGCTGGTGGGAGGTGGCCCTGCCCGGGGTAGGGGGTGGCACTGGGTGGGCTTTAAGTTCCCTCCCCACCCGAACCATCCTGGAATTCTGTGGTTCTATGATTCTAGCCAAAGTGGCAGTACTGAGGTTACTCTAGTTTTAACTACCTTCTGGAATTTTCCCTGCTCTATTCCTGCCCGTTTGTCTTGCTGGGATGGGATAACCAAAACCCAGCTGGACAAGGCACTCAGCAACCCCATCCCACTTTGAGGACGAGTCCCGTTTTGAGCAGGTGCCCAGAGCGGGTGACCTCCACAGGTCCCTTCCAAGCTGAATTATTCCATAATATTTCAGTATTTTAAATTTTAATTGCTCAAACTCCCACAGCTGTTCTACTTGCAAAGCAAGACAGGTAAGATTGGTAAACTGCCTAGGGTTTTGGTTTTTTTTTTAGCGTATTCTTGTGGTTGCTGGGTTCACAGTTGTGATGCAGTTTTCAATCTCGAGCAGAGCCTGGGGTCAGCTGCAGTGAAGCTGAGCAAGGCAGAAGCTGAGAAGCTTTCAATAATGTCCCACCTCTAAGGAGCTTATTCTTTTTCCACTCTCCTGAGGACAGGGAAGCCCACTGAGCAGTTTCTAAATACAGTCTTTCATATTTATTTGTCTTCTCCACAAAATTATTTAACACTGATGCTTCATTTTCAGTTTCATGAGGCGCTTTAAGCTCAGCCCCCTTTTTTTGAACCTTTTTGGTTACTTTCGCAGTGGTATAAAAAAAAAAAAAAAAAAAAAAAAAAAAAAAAAAAAAAAAAAAGGCAGTTATTTCAGCACGGTAATTTCACGTGGTCTGTGCTGTTGTCCCTGGTGTGTAAGTACAGCGTGTTTCCATTTGATATTTGATATGTGTTATGATGTTTGATATGTTTCCATTTGATTTGATAGTGACTTGGAATATCTGTCACAACAGTCAGACAGTTTTTATTGTGTCTCTTCATTCCCAGTTAAAAAGGAGAAAGCCACTCAACAGCTGGTCCAGCCAGAGTATTTTTCTAGTTTCTGGAAAGCACTGTATGGGCTACAGTAATACCTTGGGTGATAAAAGCTTTTAAGACATGCATTAACTTGAACTGAACCACCGTTTGTGCCTCTTCGTTCCTGTAAAAGGGACCAATTCCCCTCGGGTACATTTTTTATTGCAGCGATAACGCTTGCAGTCTGTCCCGGTGGAACAAACCTTGCCTGCAAAGATCACCCCGTGATACGGCTTTTTCAGGGGACACTGTAGCGTTGGGTGGTGGTGGTGGTGAACTGCAAGCTGAAGAGATCCTTTATGATCTTGTTATCTCCATCACTTGCACCTGATCATTATCCATCAAGTCTTACTCTTCTCTGTAATCCCGTAATTAGCATCTGTGGAAGATGGTAAATTGAATATCCTTGTGCCTGTCATTTCTAGGAGGATTAAATACCAGAGAATTAACCACCGTCATTTGAATAAATAGACCTTTAAATTGTGTTAATTCTAACTACATTTGGTACCTGCTGCTGGCAAAGGGGTGCTGGGACTCTCCTGGATGACTGCTCAGCGTGGCAGGAGCCTCAGTCCTGCCTACAGCATCCTCTCGTTCCCCTAGGTTTGACACCTAGGTTGTTCTTAAATAGCTAGGATTTTTAACAAATGTGTTTTATGTTTTAGCTGGAATATTTTATAACCCAAAGTTTGAATCAGAAGTCCTCTGAGAAAATTAAGTTAAAGAAAAAGATGCAGAAGTGCTGTCGACTCCAACCGCCTCATCTTGAACATCCAGGTGCTCGCCAAGTCTGGTCTCTCGCCTCCTTTGTTATGTGTGCCGTGTTCTTTGCTCCATTCACATTTTGTAACCATTTCTGTAAGCTGTGCTACCTATCATCAGCTATCCTGGTGACATTGCTCTCGTTGCCTCATCTTTTAGTGATGGTTTAATTAATTTGTGGAGAATTGCATAGCAATATGTAATGTTACAGTGGGCTTCTAATTTATTTTAGACAAAAAAAGAGTGTTTTTTTTCCGGTGCACTTGATGAAACAATGCAAAGGTTAATTAATAAAAGCTTTACATACAAGCGTCACGGACAAATTATAAAAGAAAGTCATTACGTTGTTCTTTATTACTCCACAATATCAAGTTATGGTTTTATTTGCTGCAAATAGAACAAGTAATATTTTTATTTACTGGAAAAAAAAATAAGTGTTTGCTCCAAATAAAACAGAGGTGTAGGCTCCTGCACGTGAGTTCCTGCGTGTGATTTCTGCAAATCTGATGCATTTGTTCAGTGAAATAATTATTGAGAAGTAGTTGCCTCTAAATATGTCGTTGTCTTTTATCACACGTGCTAGATATTCAGTCAGATCCCTTAGGTTTGGGATTCACGGGCAAGGTTTATTTCAAATGCAAGTGCCTAAAGAGGTCTCATGAAAGGATGGCCACTTTTTACTAAGCTAAGTATTTGTTAAATTTCTTATTTTACTGTGGCAAGTATTTCCATTTTTAGTGTGTTTTACTAAACGTATTCAAATGGCATATAAGAAATTGTCTCATTGAATACTTCTTTCAGAAACTGTCCTCCATTTGATCGGGTCTCTGGGACTAGAGTTGTCCCGTGGTTAATACTTGCTTCAGTTCTACAGCACGACTGTTTGTCTTTGGCAGATGAAATGTCGACCTTAAAGGGCAAAGACTCGCGCTACAACGAGGACCTGCAAAACCTGCTCTGCAGCTGCCAGTGCGCGGACGTGGCGTTCTACCCTGAAGACCTCAGCACGGTGGTGGAGGCTCACAAGATCATCCTCTGCTCTGCCAGCCACGTCTTCATGCTGCTTTTTGGGGTGAAGAGCCCGGCCGACATCCGCGACGCCTCCATCGTGCAGACAGCGCACACCCTCTTCCAGGTGGAGGCGGGGGCGGCCCGGCCCCCAGGCCCCTACGGCATCCCGGCCAGCATCTCGCCGGTGAGGGTGGTGGTGAAGGACTTCATCGTCTTCTCTTGTCTCCCAGACGTCCTCCACTTCATCTATTCAGGTACCCTTCCCCGAACGGGCCCGGCTACGCGTTCCTCCTACGGCTGATGTCTCGCGAAGGAGCGCGTGCGTCAGGCAGAGGAACGCGCCTTCGGTGTTGGGAGATGCCCTGTGTCTACATCTATTTTATCCCCTGTGATCGTCACAAACAACGTCTATATGAAAAAAGCCCTTCGCCTAGATTTAATACAAATTAAATTAGTTGCCACCCCAAATCTAACGAACGTAAACTGAGCACCATATTTTACCGCACAAAGCCCGTAAGCTGACACGAATACCACTCAGAAGCGCTGCCAAAAATATCTAGTGTTTGAGACAGTTTCAGATTTGGGGCTCTTAAGATATTTAAAACGGTTGCATGTTCCAAACACATTGACAAGAGTGCAGGGTTACTGAAGGAATCTCAGGTGGTTTCTCTTCTGGGCGTGCTGCTGCTGAAAACACGACCAGCTGGAGTACCGGGAGCTCGGATGCATTGCATGAGTTTTGCTACCAACTCAGGCAGTGGCCTCCCCCATCTAATGCCAGCTCTCTATGAAAATGGCGCTGACATTTTTCTAAATTCTCAAATATTTCTTACGAATCCTCAGGTGAAAGAGATTTTTTATTTTTTTTTTCCCCAGGCAGCACCTGATACCTGCTTGCTCTTTATAAAATATTTTACAAGCTGTCGGTACATCAGAATATATAATTTATGTTTGTTGAAAGAGTTAGCAGGGGATTTAATGATGCATTCTGATTTTTAACTGTAACAAAAAAAGCCACAAATAATTGTAATGTTAGAGCTGCATCTATGAAGTAGCTTAGTCAATATGTGTAGGCTGACACCTGCCTGAAGTGCGAAGAGGATTTCTGCCTTGGCAGCTGAGACATGAACACTGGCTTGTGAAGATAAAAGGGAAACTCTTTCAGCTTTCGGTTAGAGTTTGTACATTGAAAACATCCCTTTCAGTTCTTTCCAAACCACTGTCAGGCATAAAGAGCAGATACAGAGGTTTTTCAGTTTGAATTGATTGTTTTAAAAATTATTTATTGGTGACTTAAAGCCGAAGCTTCAGCAGGTGATAGATAAGTGCAGTGTCTTCATCTGTTGCCATTTATGGCCAGTGTCTACTGCCTTTTGTGCAATGACTTTACTTTTTACTTTTGTTTGTGCCAACCAAAGAGGTGGGAAACTGCATGGCTGCAGGCGAGGCTCTGCCATAAGCCACAGCTCCCAGCCTGAAAAAAGTCCTGAAAGATTGAACCACTCGGTGCCTCGGAGAGGTGACGAGGTGGGAGATCAGGCCGTGAGCGTCCTTGTCTTCAGCTTTTCAGGACTGCGAACACGGTGCCCACGAGGCTGTAGGCACTCGCCATGCCTGCGGTGCACACGGGGGCTGAGCTCAGCCCTGAGCTTCCTCTCTCTCTCTGACTCTTCTTTGCCCTGGGGATCAGAGCTGAGAGCTACCAAGACTCCCCATGGTGTCTCTGAGAGTTACTCCAGCAAAGAGTATTCAGATAAATACTGGTTATCACTATTTTTATAATTATATACTTATTACTAACACTGGTCAACACTTTTCATTTTTCCAAGAAAGCCATTGTGACACCTGAGAGAACACCAAGGCTTTGACTATGAAAACAAGAAAAATAGCAATTCCACTGCACGCTTTTTTTTTTTTTTTTTAATTTACCAGTACTCAGAATATAACTGTGCATGAGACATTTCTGGTTCGGGCGCCCACAAAGCCATGCAACCAGCAGTGTCAGCAGAAGCTAAAGATCTTCCACAAATATTCAGGATTTCTTTTTCTGAATGTCTACCTGCAGTAGGTAGTGATTGAACTGGGAGGAATTCAGATATTGATTTTGAAACCCAGGGAGACGTCCAAATCTGTCTGTACTTGACCACATTCTTGTAAAGTACCATGGAAATTTTATTGTGCACGAATTGCATCTTGCCCTTCCTAAGCAAGGGAACCCTGGCTGATTTATGTTCCAAAAACAGTTTCTGCAAGGTGTGTTTAGCACCGACGCTACCTTTTCTCTGCCTGCTGAGGCCTGTGCCTTGTTGAATTATAATCCAGCTTTACCTGGTCTTGTGACAGGTGTTTTCCAGTGGGAACAACTAGAAGAGGAAACAAAAAAGAAGCTGAAGGATCCAGAAAAAATTGAACATGTGCTCGAGACAGTTAAATGTATCCTGAAAATTCCAGGGAAGGTAAATCTAACTCTCTTGGGGTAACTTAGTTTTAGTTACTTAACTTCTTGGGAAATCGTTTTGTAGGCAAGGTTTCCTTGTCAGTTTTTGTGTTAAGCTCGCTTTGGCTTACACAGCTTTTACCACTTTGTCAGTGGGATGTTCACGGGCAGGTACAGCACGGAGACACAGCCATGCTGATGGGGTGTGCGGAGTTAATGTCATCGGTAAAAAGCACACGAGTCAGCATCCTAAAAGGACTGCTCCTATCCACAGCTTTGCACATTGTCTAGCGATAAGATTACCTGTCGCTAATTGTCGCGTAGTTCAGGCTGCCCAGGAAAGCTTTGCTTTCCTGAGTGTGGGCCAAAAGTGATGCTTCTGCAGTACATCAGGACAGGAGGTTTCTCTTGTAAATGCTGTGATGTGGAAAGCTGTCTGTAACTCCGTGTATTTGATTCAGCAGGTGACTTCACAGTAAAATGTAATGTATGTCACATTATTCTGTTAATAAAAAGTTACAGTGTAGAATTAATTTTAACAGCCCTTTGCTGCTAGAGTTTATACCTTCCATGATGCTACAGCACTTGCACAAACTATCTGTGTCAATTTAAATGTGAAATCACCTTGGCCTGCCTTAAGATAGCAGAATATAAAGATCAAAATTTACTTAGCTGTTTAATGCTTCCAACTGCTCGGCTGTAGGCTTGCCAGTCCTGAGCGTCCACAGATAAAACATTCATGAGATTGCACTGAGAAAGTCCTGAAAACTTTTAAGATACTAAACCTGAGTTGTTGTTTCTTTTTTTTTTATTTTTTTTTTATTTTTTTAATGCCTCTGGGGTACTTTTATTTCACATTTAAAAGGTTTTCTTCAAAGGCATAGAAACGAACTGTGATTTTTCTTGATAAAATTAAAAATTCATTTATAGATTAGGTAAGATTTTAACCATAAATTCAACCTCATCTGAATTTCGCTTATCACAATCTAGCGATAATGATTTGGTTGTTGTTCCTTTTGGTAGCTTCAGGTTCCATTTTTAAAGTAAGAAAAACAAAACTCAAAACCACGTGGAAGTGCTGGGTTTTGGAGGGTCTTGACAATAGCAAATTACTGGGAGATAAGTCTGTGCTTCAGCCTGCGAGGTCCCTCTGCCTCTGTGGAGGCAACGCCAGGCCAGTTGTGTCAGGAAAGACACAACCCTGAGCTCATTTCCATCTTTATGCAGCATCACACCAGGGGTGGATGTGTCCCCCATCAGTGCTCCCCCCAGAGCCCTCTCGGGTCCGAGCAGGGTGTGTATGAGAGTTTGGAGCCCAGAAAACTCGTGATGCAGTCCAACCTGCCCCGAGGTGCTGGAGGGGGTTTTGCCACAGGTCGGAGAGTCCCAACGCCAGGGCTGGGGTGTGACTGTAGGAGACGGAGACACTTGGAGCTGCTGCACTGTGGGAGACAGGAAAATAAACAGTGAGGATGATTGCAGAAAATCGAACGTGCTGAGTAGCACCGGAAAAAAGAGCATAAAGTGGAAAGCAAAAGGCTGTCTTTTATTTTCCCCATGTAAATGACGTCATCTTTTATTGTGTGGGCAACCAGAGATGACAGTGTTTTATTAATCATTTATTTTGCAGATAAACACCACAAAGGACTTCAATTCTCACCAGATAAAATGTCTGTATAATCAATCTCTCAGGCGGTTCTTTAAAAACCCTGTCCTGGCTGATGTAATCTTCAAAATACAAGGTACAGCACCTCTGCTCCTGTTGACGTGGGCACCGCTGTGCCTCCAGCATCTGCCCTCCCTGCAGGAGAGCGGGGATGGAGGACAGCGTGCTGTCTGCCGTGTCAAAACTAAGAAATTACAGATGCTTTGCTATCACTGTGGAAAGCAGGTTACTTCTTAGAACTAACGTTTGTCCCTGTGGATGCTTTCCATGGTTTGTCAGGGCCGAGGCTGTGCAAGCAGCCTTTGTGACAGACTTTGTGCCCCTCGGATTCTCGTGCACGCCTTGGGGGCTCAGCCAAAAAACTGAGGGGTGTGCTGCAGAAATGGCTCCTGCAACAGCATGGCACCCAGGCAGCAAGGCTAAGCTGGGGATTGCACCTCAGGGGATAATGATTTTATTTTAAAACTTATTTATCTCACTCGCCATCTGCACGAGCACCCAGTCGTAACCAGGGGTTTTGCCCAGCATCAAACCTGGGAGAGGCCGGGGCTCCCCGGGCCACATCTACACTCAGTGAAAAGACCAGGGGTGGCGGTTGCTGACTCTTGACACCTTCCCTCCCTCTGACACTGACTGTGGATGTGCCTTTCTCCACCCTCTGGAATCTGACAGGGACTTCTGTCCCACTTCTGTGTCTCCTTAGGCTTTATTCCCTGGTGGCATTCCTAGCAGATGCTGACCTGCTAATCTAGGTGCCATCAGCACCTCCTGTGTTTTCCTGCCTTTCCAGCGTTCCCACCCCGAGATGCTCCCACCTTGATCTTCATGTTTCTGTCACAGGTTTCTGGGACTTGTGTGTGATAGGTGACTCCTTATGAAATCAACCTCCAGCCTTGTAGGTGCCTAAGCTAGACCTGCCCGTTGCTTAACCCTACGTGTGTGAAAAGAAATATCTAAATGAATGTGGGTTGTTTGTTTTTTGTTTTTTGGTTTTTTTTTTTTTTTAAAATTTTGGTTTTTTTTTTTTTTTTAAAAAAAAAAAAAAGAAAAAAAAGTCTCTTGAGATGATGGTCACTATCTAGTCATCTTTGAGGCCAGGATTAAAAAGATGTGGGGGAGCAGCGGCTGGCTTTCTGTGCTGGCTTGTCTTGTAACGGACTGAAGTGGCAAAGGTGGTTGGTGGCGTTACGTGGGTCTGCTCACCAAGGTCCAGTCCCTTCCCTTTTTCCCTGCAAAGAAACTGCTTGTGTGCACCAGCAAGATGCAGTGTCACCGGTGTTTTTTTCTGAAAATTAAATGCGCTCAGCCCTTAAAAATAAAAACACAGAGGGGAAAAAGCATTGCGTGCTATTATGAGAGTAAGAGTGAGACAGTTTCTAACTGCAGATGGTTTTCTCAAGTTGTGCATGTTCACCCTACGTGCAGAAATGGTCTTTTAGGATTAGACAATTGTTTAATTATTTTCAGCTTTAAATCTCGGAGCCAAATATGAAGCATTAATCCCTCAAAAGTAAGCACATGAGGACAAGCAGATTCTTTCTTGATTTTCTCTGTAATATGCAGAAAAAAAAAATCTTTGAAAATGAGAACAAAATTCTGATGCTGAGTTTAATGACATGAATAATTTCTCTCAGTGTCCCGCTCCTGAGAGAGGCTTTGTGGGAAGTGGATGAGATGCCACCGCTATACTACTGTCAGATGGGTTGACATGTGTTTTAAAAAAAGTGTGTTTATCCGCTAACAAAGTCAGCTGTTTTTCCTAATGTTTGATAAATCTTCCAAGCCTTTTCCCCTAGTTCATCACCCACAATAATAGTATAAAAATTAAATAATTACTAAGAGAAGCTCAAAGCTTTAGTCTTGATCAGGAAAATACATTTTTAAGCCTTCAGCAAATTCCTTGAACATTGGGAGTAGCTTTGAGCTTTCTAGCTTACAGAAGTGCTTGGGACCCATTGAAAACGGGAGCCTGTTATGTCTGTGTAAAGACTCATAATGTGATTGAACCTCCTAATTAGTAGGTAAATATCCAATTACGTGCCCATAAAAAAACTGCGTGCACATCTTGCATCACGTCTGCATCGTGTATTGCTTGTGTTACAGGTGTAAATGTATAATATTATTTACATGTGTTCTCTATAAAAATATATATATACGTGTTGTATGCAGCTTAGATGGCTTGGAAGTAGAAGCACAGGTGAATAGAAAAAGAGCAAAAATGAAAAAGTGCGGGAAGTCTTCAAGGGATTAAGTGGGTGGCAGGGCTGTGGCTAAGGAGGAAATTAAGTCAGTAGCTTCTATCTAAGTATTTACATTTACCTTGCGTGTCAGTTGATCTGTTTATTATAATTTTGATTAAATAATTTACATCTCTTTCTGCCCTTGGTTGCTGTTCCGCCTGGCACTTGTCTGCCACTCTCTTGCGCTTGGGGCTGTTGAGTTCAGCAGGACTCTGCAGAATTCTGGCCCCTCAGGCTCTCAACCTTGTCCTTACAGGGCTGTAAGACCTCTGCACCCCGAGCCTTACTCGGCCTTCCACACGCTGTAGTAAAGTAAACGGTTTGCTTCCACATATTACAAAACGGAAAAAAATTCTGGAGAAATTTATCATCATTATTTTCTCAAAACGGCCATCAGGAAATTCACTTAGGCAAAATGCTTAATCTGGTTAAACTCGTGCTTAATGGATTTAATGGAACGTCATCTGGGATAATTTGCCTTTGCTTTGTGTGGCTGTGTGAAAGTTTGACTTCTGGAACACACATCCATTGCCAGTGCGATTACTGATGAACACAAATTACTAATCTGCATCATAATAATTCACAGCACTGCCTATTTATGTAACGGGCCGGAGGTTCAACTGGTGTAAAATGGTGCAACTACGGCTGGTGTCAGATTTTTTTACTAGCTGAAAGCTGGTTTCTACGGATAAAAATTTGCCCTATTTGGAGCACCTGGTGTTGGGAGCACGGTGTCATAGAAAAGAATGGTGTTTCTTTTTGCTTGCCCGTGGCTACTCGGCAGATGTAAAACGTATTAACTGGTATTTAGAGAGCGTGTTATTAGTTATCAATGGGATGTTGTTAATTTTAAACACATTAATCGTGTTCGATGAACGGAAGGCCTTCCGTGGAAATATGAGCTTTAAAAATGAAGATCTTTCTGTCTATATAAAAGGATCACAGATTGTTTGTCTTGTGTCCCGCAGATGACACTGTTCCAGCCCACAAACCCATCCTGGTAGCTCGCTGTGAGGTGATGGCAGCTATGTTTAATGGTAATTACCTAGAAGCAAAAAGTATTCTGATTCCAGTGCACGGGGTTTCCAAAGAAACTTTCCTCTCCTTTCTAGAGTATCTTTACACTGACTCCTGCTACCCAGGTGAGAAAATTTTAAAATACACTTATATCTGTTACCAATTTTCCTGTGGTGGGGTATTAATAGAGAGTAACGTAGAAACACTTCTTTCATTTAAAAAACACCAATATTTTGACGCGTAATGTCTCAAGAAAGAGAACTTGTTCATACTGTCCAACAAAAAAAAAAAGAAATCAGCCTTATTCAAGTAAAATCAACTGCATACAGAACAAACATCACTAACAAAATGCTGTATTTGTTTTGTGCTTGCATAGCAAGGCTCAAAAAACTGTGAAATTTCATTTCTGGTCCATTAGAATATTTTGAATTTTCTTTCTACATAACAGTAATACTGCTTTCTAATCTTAATTCTGGGTTTTACTTCAAAGCTGTCATTTTTGTTAGCATCTGTTTTGTTAAGTTTCATATGAGCAAGGTTATTTTACAAGAATATCTTATTTATACAGATGGAAATGTTTATAAACCCAGAAAAATCGTACATCATCTGAAGTATTCGGCAAGAAAAATTGAGCTAGAGTATTCTATGTGTCTTAACCTTGTCTTTTTTAATGAGAAGAAAATCTACATGCTAAATATGAAACATGATTTAAGTACAGATAATTTTCCTTTGAAAATGAATGAATTAATAATGTTGCGATACATGTTTTTGTTTTTATTGTCTTCTCAAATAATTCTACCTTATTCTCAGGTTTTCCATATGTTTCTCTTTTCGGTCCATCTAACATTTCCTCGTCTTTCAGTTTAAATGTGCAACCACCACACCATAATTTTTTTTAAAATGCAGTTGCGTTTCTGCAGTTGGTTTTGGCCTTTTTACTACATTTTCTCGTGCATGTATCATAGAGATTATTTTTGGAAAGAGAAGTTGGAAAGCTGAATCCTCTTATTAATCATCGCTTACTTTAAATAGACCAGCAGCACTTGACTCAGCATCTCCAATATATAGAATATTGGCAACCATTTATTACACTTAGCTTCTAAGAAGTACTAATTACTCTTTTCCTGTTAATTAAATAGTTTATCTGGAAAAAGAGCGTGATGTAGCCAACTTACAATGATAATAATGGAAAATAGAAGATGGTGGTCAACAGCAGCTTGATTTTGTGTTCATGGTTAGGTGGTTAGAAGATGACTTGGTGGCTTTGATCCTCTGGCCAGAAAGGTAAAATACACGTAACGTTTTTTTTTGTTTTTCAGACAGCATTCCCCAAGCTATGTCTCTCTTGGTCTGTGCGGAGATGTACCAAGTAATAAGACTCCAGTATATCTGTGAGCTTTATGTTATCACTCATCTTCAGAGCCTGCCCAGCAGGGAACTAGCATCCACAAGCCTCGGTGTTGTCAGCTTGGTCAAAAAAGCTAAGGTACGTGTGGTGTGTATCGGATAAGATGTGGACTCTAATTAGTGGGGGTTGTTTAATTGTTAAGATTTTCAAGATCTGAATAATTTCCATTCCCAAGGACAAGCATGGATGTACGCTCTGTTATTTAGGGATATTTGGCACAAGGTTGGCTAAAATAAGGCCTTCAGCCCTTTAGTGCAGAATGTGCAGTCATACCATAATCTCTGCAGTTTCCTCCATCAGGGACGCATTGTAGTAATTCAGCTTAATTGCATCTTCTTCCAGAAAAGATGTCTTTTAGGTAAGTAAAGGTGCACTACTTCCTCTCTGAGCCAAAAAGAAAATTGTACGATCTGCAAGTGGCAAAGGAGATCTATCCTGATATAATATTGAGTGAAATTTGTAAAAAGCTTGAAAAGAAAGCATTGGAAGCTGGAAAAAAAAATAGAGACAGTGAAGACAGATTTGGAAAACAGAAGAGAAAAATAAGAAATTAATTGTTTACAAGTGTCAGGTGGGATATTGTCTTAATTAAACAGGATTTTATGGAGAAAAGAGACAACAAAACCAACATGCCACACTTCTTACCTTTTATTTTTTTTCGGAAGCTCTGCTGTGCAGAAGACAAAAATTTCCAAGATTCGTGACCAAAGGAGCCCCAGGGGTTAGATCACACCTCTGGGGGAGGGAGTTTTAGCGTCGTTCTTGAGTCTCCATCGGTTTACATATTTCCATCAATGACTTTTCCTTTGTTACCTCCTCCAGTCAAAACACTATTTGGTAAACTGCTATGTTGACAGTGAAAACCCAGAATATTTTGACATGTGAGGTTGTGGGTGTGTTTTAGGCATGGTAGCATTAAGTGTCGTTTGTGTTTCCTTCCTTCATACAGTTTCACAATTCCAACTGCCTTTCAACTTGGCTTCTTCATTTTATTGCCACTAACTACCTCATCTTCAGTCAAAAGCCCGAATTTCAGGATCTGTCAGGTAATTTATCAATTACTTTTACAACAAGAAGTATTTTTCTGTTATGCTTAGATCAGAGACAGGGTACTGGATAATGCTACTTCACAGAATCATAGAATCCCATATTGGAAGGGACCTCAAGGCTCATCTTGTGCAACTTTCCTTGGCAAAAGCATGGTCTAGACAAGATGCCCCAGCACCCCGTCCAGCTGAATCTTAAACATGTATAATGTTGGGGGAAAAACTGCATAAGACGACACTTAGGGCTGCTTTAGGCTATAGAGTCGAGTCCAGCCCGGAGTCTGTTGGAGCTGGATGGTTCACCACCTTGTTGTGGGACCAGCACGTGACACGCGAAGTGAGCGTAGACGGCAAACGACCCCTTGGCTTTTGGTTCCTGTACTGATGGCCAGGTTCCCACCCATAATTGAACCGACTGGGATAGCTGGGTCATCATATATCAGCCCCTCCACCATATGTGTATCATTTCGTTTAGTTTGTACATTTGAATCCAGGTAATGAGTCACTTCATTTACCTGCCCTTTCAGGGTTGGGGTTTTCTTTAAAGAAAACAGGAATTGTAGAGTACGCTGTCGCAGATCCGTTGAAATCAAACAACTGATGTCCATTCGAGTAAATAAACCCAGGTTCTTCCAGGGAACTGATATTTATTTTCCCAAAGACTGTATTTGTTTCCTGACACGTAACTCTAGGGAGTTTTCCTCATTACCTACAGGATTTTTCATCGCCCTGATGAAGGTGCATCTCTTTGACCTGGGGTTTGTGTTCAGGCTGTTGCTAGGGGGCTGGTGTGTTCCAGAAGGGGATTTTTCTTATCTGTGAGGCAAGGCTCTGTCTGGTCCAAAGTACTGAAGGTCCTCTTTCCTCATTTGCAATATGTACGTGTGATGACAGACTTTGTAATTGTTAGGAGCAAAGGAAGGAGAGCTAGGTCCTCCCTTCTTGGTTTGGACTTGGAATTTGTCTTCCAGTGGCCCATCTGCACATCTTCTGAAACGTCCACTTTGTAGAGCCAGATCTGGGTTAAACATGGGAGAGCAGGGCCCCCGTGCTGGCAAGTGTCACCTGCCAGTGGTTTTGGTCCACACTGGACCTGCTTTGCTTCCCTTCCTGCTGCTTCAGGTGACAGATTGTGTTTGGAACCACTTTGTGGCATCTTGCTCGCTACAGGGCTTTGGTCTCAACCACCCAGAGGTTCTGCTGAAGCTGCAGGAATCGGGTTGTCCCCTCCAGTGAAGGTGGGAGCTGCCTTTGGCTTCCCCTTGGCGAGGCAGGAGAGCACAGACCCCTGTGACTTGGGGTCAGACTAGGCACATCTACTTACCCATCTTCCAGTTCCCCAGTGGGATATCAATTTATCAATATAGATTATTAAATGTTTGATTGTGGGGTTTTTGGTTGCATTTTTTTTTTTCCTGTGCAAAGTAATAATAACAGCGCTTCTGTCTCCATGTCACCATTATCCCGATGGATATGGGGCTGCCTATGAGCCTGTTGTGAAATTTATGCAGTGATGCTTCTGATAAGCACCACTTATCATCACGTGTCAGCTTGTGCTCTGACAGCACCCGAATAACGTGGGGGTGAGCTGGAGAGCATCACCACGCCACGGCGTTGCACTGCCATCACCTGGAGTTTCTTCTCTGCTTCCACCACTCATGGAGGATCCAGGGTTGATGCAGTGCCATACTAAAGCTGTTGGCAGTCGGAGGAGATTTCCGAAATCTCCAGTGGGTGGCTGATACCTGGCTGGCTGATTTGGAGCCAAGGGCCTCTGGGTTGACTTGAAGGAAGAGGGTAACATGTCAGTGGATTGGTGTCCTTTGGGGTACAGTGTCTGCACATCTGGCAGCCTGTCCTTTGCTTTTCTCCTCCCTCTGAGTCACAGAACCACAGACTGGTCTGGGTTGGCAGGGACCTTAAAGCCCACCCAGTCCCACCCTCCTGCCCCGGGCAGGGCCACCTTCCCCTAGCCCAGGGTGCCCAAAGCCCCGTCCAACCTGGCCTTGAGCCCTTCCAGGGAGGGGGCAGCCACAGCTGCTCTGGGCAGCCTGTGCCAGGGCCTCAGCACCTCACAGGGAGGGATTTCTCTCTGATATCTAATCTAAATCTATCAGTTGCCACTCAGACATGGAGCTGTTGACCACAGCTCTTTGGGTGCGACCACCCAGCCAGTTCCTGATGCCCCGTGGGGTCCGTCCATCAAACCCACGTCTCTCCAGTCCAGAGGTGAGGATTCGTGCAGGACAGTGTCAGATCTTTGCACAAGTCCAGGCAGACGATGTCAGTGGCTCTTCCCTCACCCACCAGCGCTGTGACCCCCTTGTCGAAGGCCACCACATCCATCAGGCAGGATTTGCCCTGAGTGAAGCCCCGTTGGCTGCCACCAATCTCCTCCTTATTGTCCATGTGCCCCAGCAGAGTTTCAGGAGGGTCTTCTCTGTGATCTTGCCAGGCACAGAGGTGAGACTGACTGGCCTGTAGTTCCCCAGGTTCTGCTTTTTTCCCTTTTTTAAAATGGATGTTATACCAGTAAATAGAAGAGGAGGTGCAACTGTCCTGTCCCGGGGCACAAAACACCCTCCTGGTAGTGCTGCAGCACGGGAACGTCCTCGCCCTTGATTAGCAGTGTCTGGATAACGACCCCCGTTAGGACAACCTCTCTGCTCTTGTTCACGACCCTGGGACTGATTTTGTGAAGTAACTGATTTATTGCTGACTCAGTAGTGAGGGACCATCCCGTGGTAGCCCTTAGGTCTGCACTAGGGTGAGGTCTCGGCCAAGGGGCAGCTCTCACCTCTGGTCTGGGGTTGCCTTTGCAGCCCTAACGTTTACTAACCGTTGGCTGTTGCATTTAACCCTTTATCGCCCCGTTTAGCGGAGGAGCGCCGCTTCGTAGAGAAGCACCGGTGGCCGTCCAACGTGTACCTGAAGCAACTCACCGAGTACAGGAACTACGTCAAATCCCAGAAGTCCCACTGCACAGTCATGTAAGGACTGAACAGGCGCACAGGGCGTCTCGCCAGGGGAGCCTCAGCCAGGGGTTTGCGTGGAGCTTGAACGTCAAAACCAGCGGCTGAGCCCCCGGGAGCACGGTGCCCTGCTGTGGAATGCTCGTTCATGTTCCTTGACTTGGTACCAAACTGCGCTGATTTTTCCTGAAAGCATTGAGAAATAGATCTGAGGTTTCTTTCAAGCACAAGGGTGTCACGCCCGTGGGGATAAAGCATCATACGGGGCAGTGCCGTGAGGGTCACCCCCTTGTGATTCCTGTATTGGCTACTTTATTGTGTCTTGTGGCTGTTTCTTGCTGCTAAACCAGCATCTGTCAAAAAGAGAATTTTTGGTAAATCCCGTACAATTGGAGCGGTGTAGCAGTTCAGGGAAGCTGGGAAGCCAACTAATAAATTCTTTATTTTGGAATGCAAACGTCTTCTGCAGTGTCTGTTGGATTGCAAAACAAAGGGCAGGCTTAACAAGCATCCTAGTTACGCTTCGTTTTGAACTTCGCGTCAGGCCTGTAGTTCCTTTCGTGAGAGCCTGACAGCTTTGCAGGCAGACGTCTGAACCCCGGGAATGCCTGTGCCGTGCTGTACTCTCTAGTGCCTCCAAATATCTGAACATTGAAATAATTTTTCCTGCTGGTACGCGGGAGCAGAAAGTCCGCTTGAATAACGTGAGAGACACCTTTGTCGGAGTGGCCGTGTTGTGTTTCTGCCCTCGAGGAAAGGGTCGGGGGCACTCGCTCGGAGCAAACCCACCTGGGGCGGGAGGGCCTGGGGCAGAGGGGACGGGCTGGGCAGCCGAGGGGGTCTCGCACTCTGCAGCCCCCCGGCAGCCGAGAGCCTGGGTGTTGGGTGCTGGTCCGAGGGGTGACCCCACGGGTTCACCTGTCCCACCAGGGGCCGCGGATTTTGTAACGGGGCCCTGAGCTCGGCCCTGTCCCGGGGCCCAGTTTGAACTGGGTTATCCCCACGTGCCATCAGCTGCCCCCAGTCAGACAAAGCCGATTATCTTCCCTGGCTGCCGGACTCTTCCCAGAGAGAGCAGGGACCCCCAGCGCACCATGACGAGGACGGCCCTTGCAGACCCTGGGGAGGGTTTTCCTGACCTACATCATCTGTTGGCGGAGCCCCTGACCCGTGTGTGTGTAGTGACAGTGACGGCCAGATGAACCTGACTTGTCTGAGGGATCTACCTAAGCAAAGGGGCTTTTCTGTCAGTGACATCGGAGCAAGGAGCTAAAGGCTTCATTATCGTCGTTCTTGGACTTCGGATCCTGCTTTGCCCGCTGCCTTGAATTTTGGCATGGAGTCTGAGCCCAGAAAGACAGAGAAGAGACCCTGGAAAAGATTATTCCGTTTTTCCACGGTGTCCCAGCGGCCATCCCCAACGGACCAGACAGAGCAGCTGTGAGATGCAGGTGGAACAGCAAATTACTGCAGATTTTTTTTTTTTTTCCCCCTCTGCTTTCATATTCTAACACAGTTTTATAGGCAAATCGTTCTTTTCAAATTCCATGATAGAGTCACAGGGATTTTACTGTTTGGGGTTTTTCTGGTGACATTTTGCAGAGGTTGCGAGGGTATTGCTTTTCCTATAGTAGGGGACACACAAAAAATTTCAAAAAAAGAGCTTGTGAATCAGCTGGCTGCTGCAGGCTCCAGTTTCCAAGGTTAGTAAGAATGAGAATTGTTTTCCTTTTTCATAACCTGGGGATCCCAAAGTTCTTTAAAGGATTAGATGTACTTAGCTACATCTCACAAATAAGGAGCCTGAAATCCAGAGCGTTACACTGCTTCTTCAAGATCACTAACGAAAACTGAAAATGTTAAAAAATTAATGGCAAAGTAGCACGTGTGGAAATGTAAAAAAAGCTGATTCCCCGTCGTTGGGGCAGAAATGAAAGATGGTAAGTATAAGCTAGCTGGAGGGCTGCGAATACAACCTGCAGCTTTCAGAAGCATCAAGTGGTGAACAAGAAGCAAGGTGGAGCTGAAGTGCAGCTTGCCCGGACGCCCGGGAGCACCCGGGGTCACAGCCCGCGCTGCAGCCAGCAGCCAGCCCCGTCACCGCGAGCGGATGGTGTGTGTGTCCTGCTGACCGCCTGTACAGACCCGATACACGGGTTGTGTCACCCTTCCTCTGCCCTGCACGTGCTCCTGAGGTTTTAGTCCTCGGCCCCTTTCTCGTTTTTTTTGCCACCAGTTAGTCTGTTTCTGGTAGTCTCAGTAGAGATAACACCTAACAACAAACTATTTTTAAGGTCCTGTAAACGTTTTATAAGCATTTAAATACAGGCTGAATGGAAGTACAAACACTCTATCCAACCAAGAGAAATATTTTGTTATTCTCTGTTGTAGTCAGTGGTAACGGCAGGTTTTATACAGAGATGCCAGGCTGTGAGAAAATATTTGTTCTTTTGTCACAGATTACTGCACACTCCTATTCAGACACTAAAAGAGCTTTCCATTGTACTGGGCATCCCATAATGCCCCCTGCCTCAGGTGCAGATGTGCTGTCCTTGCAGGCGTGGATCATCTGATCAGCTGAAACTCTTATAAGAATTGTGACTATAAACTCTTTTTCTGGAGGATGATTTTCAGTAGAAATGTAGTTATCTTAGAACTGGTTTTGGAAACGACACATTAGCATTCAGAACCGAGACAAAGTCAATTCTGATGCTGGGTGAGATGCTGTCAGCAATTTTTTTTTGGTGGGGGCTTCAGGGCTGCATCCATCACGGACAGCCAGGAGTTTGGTGTTTCTGAACAACTTGGTCTGGTAGAAAGGGAAAATTGCTGTGCTATAAAAAGCCTCTTTGCCCTATGGTTTAGAGCAAAAGCCAGGAACCACCTGAAGAAAAGGTTCTTTAAGGTTTTGAAAAAAGGAAAATGTGTGAGGAGGAAGGTTTTTGCTGGTGCCAGCATCTCCTGAACTCCCGGGGCAGCGGCAGCCTTGGGCTGGAAGAAGGGGTCTGGTGGCAAATTCAAGTGCCCTTAGGCAGGACTTAGTTGGTCAGACCTTTCACTTCCAGGCGTGGGCTTAAGTGGAGTTTTGTCTCCTGAGCCCTTCATGAGAGCTAACTCTCAAAACCCACTTTTAGAAGACAGTTTCTTGAGTCACGGATTGCACTGCCTAGTCCCTGTAGGCTTGTCCCAAGCCAGCACGGAGCTTTCCCGGGACTGAGAGCAAAACCTCTGCGCTCCAATGCCGCTTTCTGCTGGAGAGTCAGCAACCCCTGCATCCTCCTTTGGGCCTTGGCCTGTCTGATCTGGATAGAAACTGTTAGGAGGAAGAGAAGGTTTTTTTTCTGAGGCATGTGCTGAAGCTCCTGCATGTTTTCCTTTGAACACACCCAGACCGAATGTTCTTGGATTGAATATGTAAAATTTTTATACAAAATAAACCCCCTTCTCTGTCAGTCTCATGGGATGCTTTACCCAAGCACGTCAGAAGGTTTGAGCGTCCCGCTGGAAATCCCGTTTGTAGCTTTGCAGTGTTGCGGGGCGGTTTGGGTGGGGAGCGGCCGTTCGAGGCCTCCGGACCAAGCCTGCCTCGGGCAGGGACACCTTCACCCAGCGCAGGCTGCCCCGAGCCCGTCCGAGCTCCGTGATGATCTCTTGGCAGCCGTGGCTGCGCCGCCCGGGCCGTCCCTGGGGTCTCGCTCGGCTCTTGGCGAGAGCCCCCGACCCCCGCGCCCTGAAGCCCAGCCCCAGGCTGCCGCAGCGCCCCGACACCCTCTTTGCGCACCGACGGCCAGCACAGGCCGTTTGCGTTTGTCCCCGCCGGCCCAGCCCGCTGTCGCCCTGGCCAGGGAGGAAAGCCTCGTCCATCCCGTCAGGCCTTACCCAGCCCCAGCCGCCCCTTGGCGAGGCGCTGCCGCCTGCCCGCGCCGTCCCTGCGGGGACCCGGCACCCCACGGCGGAGCGTCCCCAGGATCGGAGCACGGAGCGGGGCGGGCATCTGCCGGCTGTCCCCCGAAGGAACAGAGTTCTGCCAGCAGCGGGGGAGAGGCTGCGGGTGCGGGACTGACACACCAGACCGAAAGCAGAAACTGATTTCCCCGCAGGAGGGGCCTTGAGAGGAGCAGCAGGGAGAGCAGCCGCAGGACGCGGCGGCAGATCCCCGGCTGGAGCGGGCTGTGAGCTTTGCCAGGCAGAGAAGCCCCTTCGGGGCAGCGGGCGGTGAATCCCTGGCAGCAGCGGGATGGGGGGGCACCAGGGGGACAAAGGGCCAGCGAGTGCCGCCGGGTCGGGGGTCGGCGCAGGGATTGCCTCGGAGCTGCCGGGGGTTTGGGGGATTTTCGGTGCCGGG